CGCCGTTGTGGCGCGAAGCACGTTTGCAAGTGAAAAAACTAAAAACACCTCACGTTCGGAGCACTTTTGGAAGTTAAGATGTCGAAAAAGTGCACGCTGTTGTGGTGCGAAGCACATTTCGAAGTTAAAATGTGAAAAATACCAGGGGTTCGGACCACTCTTGGACGTTCAGATGTCGTTTCGCGTGGCAGGCGCAAGGGATTGTGGACCTTGTCAGAAGCGAGCAAAACGTGAGGTTTTTGTGGCATTTCCAAAATTGATGGCAGGCGTGGGACATTCGAAGAGGATCTGCAAAGGTGCATTTTCCGTGGCAGGCGCAGTACAAGAGACATGTTCATCAGAGCTGTTAGGAGGTCCGGGCGCTGATTTCCCGAGAGGGCTTGCATTTTGGAGCATTAGATCTTCAGTTTTGGAAACATGATTTTGCGTGACAGGTGCAGCACTTCGTATGGCCTGGCACCACTTTTTCGTGGCAGGCGCAGTACTTTAGACAGGTGGAGTGGAAAAATCGCAAAACCCATTGGTACGAGGCCGTCAGCTTTGCACTCGACTTTCCATTTTTGAAGGATGTCTCGCAGAATTGCTTTGTGTTTGATGTTGTCAAGTTAAAAAAATGAGGAAGTCTCGCAGAATTGCTTCGTTTTTGATGTTGTCAAGTGCAAAAATTGAGGAAGTCTCGCTGAATTGCTGCGTTTTTGATGTTGTCAAGTTAAAAAACCGAGGCAGTCTTGCAGAATAGCTTAGTTTTCAAGCTTGCAGATAGATAGACAGACAGAGAGATAGATAGATAGATTAGGTTAGAATAGATTAGATTAGCTTAGTTTAGATTAGATAGATTAGATTAGAACAGATTAGATTAATAGATAGATAGATAGATAGATAGATAATTAAATTAGATTAGATTAGATTAGATTAGATAGAATAGATAGAATAGATAGAATAGATAGAATAGATAGAATAGATAGAATAGATAGAATAGATAGAATAGATAGAATAGATAGAATAGATACAATAGATAGAATAGATAGAATAGATAGAATAGATAGAATAGATAGAATAGATACAATAGATAGAATAGATAGAATAGATAGATTAGATAGATCAGATAGATCAGATAGATTAGATAGATTAGATAGATTAGATAGATTAGATAGATTAGATAGGTTAGATAGATTAGATAGATTAGATTAGAAAGATTAGAAAGATTAGATTAGATTGATTAGATTGATTAGATTGATTAGATTGATTAGATAGATTAGATAGATTAGATTGATTAGATTGATTAGATTGATTAGATTGATTAGATTGATTAGATTGATTAGATAGATTAGATTAGATTAGATAGATAGATAGGTAGGCAGATAGGTAGATAGGTAGATAGATTAACAGCTAGACAGGTAGACAGATAGACAGATAGACAGCTACAACTACAACAACGACAACTACCACTACACTATACTACTACAACTGCAAATATACTACGCTACAGTACACTACACATACTACACTGCACTGCACTGCACTCAGCTACAACTACGACTACAACTACGACTACAACTACGACTACAACTACACTACACTGCACATACTACACTACACCACATTACACTACACTACACTAATTCCATTGCACTACACTACAACTGCAAACACAACTACAGCTACACCCACACTACATTACACTGCACTACACTACACTGCACTGCACTGCACTCAGCTACAACTACAACAACAACAACTACTACTACTACTACTAGTACTACTACTACTACTACTACTACAACTACTACTACTACTACTACTACTACTACCACACACCCACAACCACAACCACAACCACAACCACAACCACAACTACACTACATTACACTACACAACACTACATTACACTACACTAATTACACTGCACTACACTACAACTACAACTACACTACGCTACACTACACTAATTACACGACATTACAGATATTACAGCTACAGCTCCACGACACTACACTACATCCAGCAGTTTTGGTAAGGTGACCACTGCAACCATTGCAACCACTCCAAAAAACACAACTCCAACCACCTGTCGGTCCATCGGTGGATTCGCTCTGCCATCCGCGATTCACAACAACCAACCTCTCCCATAGCTTTCCTATTTTTGAAACTTCCGCCACCGCCTTGTGCGGCACTACTGGCAATTATAGAGAACGCAGAATGAATTTCATAGCAAGAAAAGTTCTAAAACTGCCAAAAAAATATATTTACACATTTATCATATATTAGAACTATCAAGGGGTTCAGAATGCTCATTTGAGATGACGATGTTTGCGACCTTTCCAGCATGAGTGGATGATGAGAACAAGACGTCAGACTCATTAGACCTTATGACAAACTGGTTGTTTTGAAAGAGAGGTCGCACTATAATTCACTAAGTTTGCACTGGAGCGCTTTGCGTGCAGCTGACTTGTGGAAGAACTTGTGCCTTCACTAACCAAATGCCAACCAACATCTCTGTTTCTGAAGCCATTGTTGTTACTCCTCAAGGTTGCGCGGCAATCTCTCTATCTTTCTACATTTACTGGGCAGCCCTTCGCTACCTTTCAGATTTTTTCACGTCCTCAAGTTAAGATGGGAATTGGAGAGAAAAGTGATAAGTTTAGATTTTGATTTTGCTTGTTTCGTGTTTTGGCTTTTGGGGTTTTCTCGAGTGTGTTGAGGTACAGCAGCGTATCCGTGCCTTCCGAGAACGGTTTGCTCTGGATGCTGAGCGGCAGTCGCAGATCCCAGGACGCAATTTGATAAGCTTGAGACATCCTGAGACTTATCTATTGGCATTGCGGGACAGACTCGCGATCACCAGAGACGATGTCAGAAGCACAGTTTTTGCCAGCAATCCGCTGGAGGATACAACCAAGCATATACAAGCATGGGCATTTCATGCGTCCCCCGGCCTTTGTTTTAGAAAAGAAGAAATAGCTTTCGGGGCGAGCTGTGAATGTTGTGAATTTGTTACCAATGTTACCAGTTGTTGTCCTCTTCCCGTTGATCTGACGTCAGACGTCAGTATACGTCAGTGACGCCAGTGACATCCGTGTAGGTCCATGGACTGGAATCGCCACATCGAAACACAGCTCCGAGAGGAGATGCAGAAATACCTGGGGGAATCGTGCAAAGAACAAGCTGCTGGAAGACAACAACAAGAACAAAAACACGTAGAAGAAGAAGGAGAAGAAGAAGAAGAGCAATACACACTATTTAATCAGTGACTGGCGGTAGTAGAAACCAGTAAGAAACACGTCAGGAAAGGTCTGAAAGATTTGCAAGTACCGTGGAACAAACAATAAGTGGCATGTTTTGAGTAGAGCCTCTTAGAGACATACACTTAGACACTTTAGGCGTCTCCGTTCACAATTGATGTTGCATTCCTTTAACGCCATTTTTGTTTGGTACAGTAGAAAGATGTTCTCACATGTTTGACATTTTGTGTACACAATGTACATACAGACACGCACGTATATATCTACATTCACTATAATAAAAAAATGCATACATATGCACACATACATATGCACGCATACATATGCGCACATACATATGCGCACATACATATGCATACATACATATGCACATACATACATATGCACATACATCCATCCATGCATGCATGCATACATACATACATACATAATCATATGTATATATATATACGGACAGTTCAGAAAAACAGAGTTGAGAAGAGTAGCGTAGTGGAGAGCAGAGAAGAGTAGAAGAAGAGTAGAGTAGTGTAGAGTAGAGGAGTAGGGAGGGGAGAGGAAGGAGAGAAGAGCAGAGTAGCGTAAAAGTAGCGTAGAGAGTAGACAAAACTAGAGCAGAGAGTAAATTGGAGTAGAGTGGAGTAGGGGAGAGGAGAGGAGGAGGGGAGGGGGGAGGAGGCGAGAGAAGAGCAGAATAGAGTAGAGCAGAGTAAAATAGAATAGCAGGGTAGGGGAGAGTAGAGAGTAGGGGAGGGGAGGAAGGAGAGGAGAGAGAGCAGAAGAGACGAGGAGAGTAGAGCGGAGCGGGGTGGAGAAGAGAAAAGTAGAGCAGAGAAGAGCGGAGAAGAGAAGAAAAGAGAGAAGCAGAGTCATCATGCCTTTTTCAGCAGCATTAGTGGATAGCTGATTTGGCGCGACCTTTTTGCCAACTTTAGCTTTAAAATTGAAAGTAAAAGGTCGCGCCACATGTTCTCTCGGTACCCATCTCTCCTTGCCCAACCAGTTTCGTCCCCTTCCTTTTGGCCTCAAGTTAAATTACATCCACGTACATGATTTTGAAATACGTATACATTATATACTGTTGTTCTCAATCATTCGTGTTCATTCATTCATTTATGATTCGTTTATGTATTAGTGTATTTGTCTATTTAAAATATATATTATACTTACACTATGTATTTTTGACAAGCCCTGCGTCCTCCATTTTTGGAATCTTCAGGAGATTGCGCTGTGCCGACGCGACGCCCAGCACTGCCGACAACGCCAGGGAGAAGCCCTCGAGGCAAGACCCCATATGGTAGCAGCGGTTTAGGGGTAAGCCGAGGCAAGTGTGAATAATCTGTGAAAACATGTATTATTTCATTTTTTCCCCGCTGACTTCCACTGTTGCGTTCGACTGTTATTTGTTCATCTTGTTTCCATTGGCACAACACCAAGGCTTGGCATGGAAAAACAATGTTTACATATTGTACTTGTTTCGAGGAATTCACACACAGGAAAAAATGAGGAAACTGAGCTGTGCCAAACACAAAAAAAGACCAATACAATATGAATTTTGAATGAGGAAGATTGTCTTTGACAACAACACTTTTTAATTATTCTGTGCAGTGTTAAGCACAGGTGTAATTGGACCTAATTTGATTTAGTTCACCTTCATAGAACTTCTAGATTTTGTACGCTCTGGAGGCCATTTCTATGAAATCTATGCAGCAATGCACAAGGAATCTGAGGCACCAAATTGTCCAAACTTGCAGGGTCAGATGGCTCAAGGGACAAAACCCTAGGGTCGGGGGCGTCAAGCCCACTTGTAGCTGAGCAGAAGTCAGAGCACGTGAGGCTCGGTATGGCCGTGCCAAAACTGACAGGTATGAAAGCCGGTTTTTGCAAAGCCACAACTGTTGAACGCCTGCCTCATCCTGCATCAGATTCCACGGACTTCTGGTGTCGATTAGGTTTCTGTCATCGCTGTACGGAAGTATATTCAACGGCTGCATCAGTACCTCATCCTTCTGCAAGAGGAAGCCTAAAAAAGATGCAAAAACACTCAGAGAGCGCAGCCACGGCACAGATGGCCCGCCATAGTCATTTGAACTGGTTAAGCCATTCGGAATCCATTGACATCCATTGACTCTTGTGAAACTGATTTGCACCTAAAAAGTTGATAGACTCTGATAGACCAACATTCCGTAATCGCCGTAACATTCCATTCATCGACGTAGGCGCCATGCCTGAAGAACGACCTCTCACAGCGCTCGCTGGCGCAGTGGCCGGTGCTGTGGCAGGGGCAGCCACAGGGGTGGCACGCGCACTCAGGGGGAGCGGTGTTGAAAAAGGTGAAATTGTTCAAAATGATCCACTGCCTACACTGTGCTTAGCTTGCTACGGGGAGAACAGAGATGAAGAGAGAAAGAGAGCTATTCCTCTTCGATGTTCAAAAAAGATAATGAGAAAGAATGAGAAAGCCACATAAAGCTACCCAAGTGAAAAGCGTCACCAATCACTGATCTGTTGACCTACAGGGTCACCAGGGTCTTCGATTTCTTTAATACGCTTGTGTCCTTCGTGACTATAGCATGACCGGATGCATGACCAGATTTCCTCAATTTCTTCGAATTCCTTAGGCCATTTTTTTGCTTCTCAGACAGAGAGACAATCGACCTGAGCAAGGACCCAGTATGCCACAGCTCCTTAGCACGGAAGGTTGCCATTTGATGATTTGATGTTGTGTGCAAAGCGTGCAAGGCATTGCCTGTTCAAATGAATGATGAATGGTTTATTTCAATGTGTTCACTGTCCCATTTGGTTCAAATGCATGTTGTATCATATTGTATCATGTTGTCGTCTTGCAGGAAGCCGAGACAAAATGCACGTAAACGCCAGAGGTGTGTGTGAATTTCAAAAGCGCGTTCCGTCTTCTGCAATCGTGCCTCTGTCACCAAGCCGAGGAACGATGGAGGCAATGTACAGGCCAAGGACTATCCTTCCAGACGAGACACTCGCAATTCATAATAGAAAGCTGATGACGAACACATGCTTTGGATTCCTTTGGATTGCTCGGATGGTGTTCTGTATTCTTTTACACCAGCCTGGCACTTATCTTCTGAAATCAAGACTTTGTGAAAAGTGCCATGCAGGACCAGCGCGCTAAGAAGGCGGGTTTCACCTCAAAATGGACAAAGCCCGCTTTGGACTCAGCAAAGCATTCCTTGGCGGCGATGAAGTCTTCAGGGAGAGGAGAACATTATCACTAAGCAGAGAAAAGGACAGACCACAAGACTTAGTAAATGCTTGGATCACAACTTCTTCGTCAGCATTAATTCCGCAAGCTATCCACTTGTCATTCAGCCTTAAAGTCATTCACTGAAGGTCCCAAAAGGCCCTGTCTTTTTCTGGCCAAGGTCGTGATTGCAAGTCCAGCTTTGGAGCCTTTGGCTAAGGAGGCAAGTCCAATTCACACATAAGAGGTCCAGGCATGTCAGAAGCTTGGGCGAGGAGATGGTTTTGAGATTTGAAATGATGGCATTTATTTATATTTATTTGTGATATGTATCGTGTCATTGCTTGAAAGATAACTGGCATAGACGGGTTGAGCCTTTCGAAATAGATGGGTCCGGGTCCAATGGTCCGGGTCCAGGTTCGGAAACGACTGGGAGAAGAAGAGTATCCAGAAAGTGCCGGTTGGGGTCCACAGTTTCAGTGTTCGGCATTTGGGCATCGTGTCGTCACCAACTCTCCTGACTTCAGACAGATTGTATGATTTCAGACTCATGAACTTCAATGCACTTCTCAGGTCCTACCGTGACCTTGGATTATTTCAAGTCCAAGGATCCCAACGTAAAGTTGCTTGGGCCCAATTGATAAAGGTCTGTCTGTCTGTTTGTCTGTCTGCGCATCTCTGTTTGCATTTGTACGTGCTTTTCCAGTTTTCAAGGCATCAGCGGTTTTTTGAAGACCAAAACATCAAAACGTGTCCGACAAGAAAACCTGAGTCCATAGACTTCGATCCTACTTGTTGATCTTTTCGGCATTTCGTTTATTTTTGAATCCAGCACGAGGCAAATCAAGGCAAGCCAAGTGTCCGGAATTTCAGAATGGCCACTGAAGTGTTGGGCATTGTTGGGCAAGGATCCTTTCATGGAGGATATGGAGGGATGTAGAGTCTACTTGGAATATTCAAGCGCCGAACATCTTGATTGTAAGCCGTTGCAGGCCCTGCGCACAGCCAGGTTTAATTGGACACGAGTCGTCGGTCGAAAGATCATTTTCCTATTCGACACCGTGGACCAAAGCCGATTCTTTGAACAGTGTCTGGGCAATACGTGCAAAGGTGTGCAAAAAGACTGTTGACCTCATGTTGACTATGACATACTATGACTATAGGAAATCTATGGAAATCTTCTCATGTTTGTTTCCATGACCCTTGCTGTGACCCGTTCTGCTGTCTTGCTGTCCCTTTCTCTGTGGGCCCCTCACCCCAGCATTCCTCGAAGGACATGACATAAACACCTCCATCTTTCACCACCTTTCAATGTCTCAACATTGTCTCGACCCAGACTTCACCAAGTCCGTGGAAGTTTTCTGCAGGTTTCCACTTGCTATTTCATGTTATTTTCCTTTCGTGCAAATTTGCAGCTTTGTTCCTCCCTGCGCCTCTGAGCAAGTGCTGTTTAGAGCCATTCTTGCACACCTGCTCGTCAGTCCCTGTTCCTATGTCCCGTTCTTGAAGATCAAGGCTTTTGTCATGATTGTTCGTATGGATGGAAAGAGGGTCCTCAGCTTGCTTTTTACTGGCTTTCCAATGTGAAGTGTTTTTGCGTTTCATAAGTTTGGAGAAGCGCGTGCAAGTTGAACACGAGTTCTACCAATTTCGGGTTAACGTGGTTTTTGTCACTTGGGCAAAGCTGTTTGAATCTCAGGTTGTCTCTTTTGCAGGCGCAGCTGTTGTCTTTGAACCTACTGAGTTTGCTGTCTTGCCTGAACAAAGCCATTCTGCAGCCGGACCACGGCTTTGTGTTTGGCAATGTGAACCACAATCCTTGATCAAGTAGAAGTCGATTTTTGCCCTCCATGATCCTCCATGCTTGCTTCGTTCTTGGAAATTGTATGAAATCATCTACTTTTATTTCACGCTATGCTACATTTGGGCAGGCGTTGCAGGGCTTTGCTGTACCCGATGGTGAGGACAAAGGCACCAAGTGGAAGACCTATGCCGCTCTGCAAAACATCTCTTGGTCTTCCCTTGATGCACGATGCACACAACGCACGTTTGAAGATTTGAAGACTCAGTGCAAGGCACTGCAAGGTGTTTTTCATTGTTGTTGGTGCAAATGCCAAACTATTGCAGAGTTATGCAGTGACACTACCTGACACATTCACACACTGTTCTCCACTGTGATTCAAAGGACCACTCCTGCGGTATTCCACTGAGGTCAATGCTGGGGCTTACTCCTGGGGCAGGGCATCACACATCACCGTGGTTCTTCCGCCGCTGAGCTCATAAGTTTTAAAGAACAAAACTCCAACATTTTGTTGTGATAATTGTGATAGCGTTGTGGATTTACAGATTGCACAAACGATTGAGAAGGTTTTTCTGGTCTCAAGACACTAACCCATTCTGCACAAATAAAAGCAGAGAGGGGAGACCGATCAATGCCATGTCTATAATCTACTGGTGCAGAACCATATTGAACCATATTGAACCTCGTCAGCTTTATATTTCATCTATTTTCATTTGGTTCGATCAGACGTTCACTTTGACTTCCAGGTGGTATCGACCATGTCAGATGGAACGCACCAGTCGCTGGCACCTCACTGATGACAAATGGGTCAATAACAATGCAGAGGTGCCGCTGGAGAGACCAACTGAAAGAGCTTCGAAAGACTTGGTAGTTCTTTTTTTGGATCTGATTTTATTAGACATGTTTTAGATCATTTTAGGATATACGTTGATATTTTGGGAAGCTGCGGCGAGGGGTAAGGTGCCAACAGTTCTGCAGTTTTCTGTGCCATCCGGTTTTTCATGTCGGACTCCATGTGCACAGGGCCAGTGGCTTGATGTGCCCAACGCATTGCGACTTGGTATGGTTGAGACATGCTAAGACCCTGAAATTCTAGAACTGTCCACATTGAAATTGATAAATCTCGCTTCTGAATAAAAAACGTCCTTTAAGTATTGTAGTCTGAGAGACCGCGTGGAGTCTGTTTTTTCTTGAGGATTGTTGATACTGTAGCAGTAGCAGTTGCATGCAATCGTGCCCGTCTTTCAGTTTCCGTCAGAAGCGTTTTTGCCGAAGATGTACTTGGATTTGGCCAGGTACATGGCACGGCTGCTCGCAACACCAGGTTCAGTGCCCCCACTGCCGGGCCCTAACAGCTCCATGGATGGCATGTGGGGGCCCCGGTGAGCGGGTTCAGAGAAACTGTCGGCTTTGTTTTCAAAAGACTGTTTGCCAACTATGAAGTTTCTTGTTGGTTTCTTGTTGTTAGTCTAGGAATATTGAGAGTGACGATCTCTACGTATTGGGATCTTGCAAGAAACATATAGTGGCACAGTCTTGGCAGCAGTGAATTCTGGATGTAGAGCTTGCTTACAATGGAGTACATGCGAAATAGATTGCATCAGCAAGCACACGCAGGCCACTCAATCCACTTTGGAGCCTTGGATTGCAGACATGCACATTTGCTGCGCTCAAATGGCAACATGTTTTCGACATGTTTCGACCGTTGTTTGCCACGCTCCTGCTTTGTTTTTTGCGTTCCATTTGAAAACCACGTCCTGAGCGATGGATCCATGAGGTCCTGCGGACATTTAACATTTTTTCCAGATATCTACGTGTGTATCTATATAATTATACATATACGACATATACATATACATATACATACATATATATATATATTACATAGATATATATATATATATAATGCGTTCACAGAAGCGGCACACAATTTATATCAAAGTGTATCAGACACGCAAGGGTCTATGAATTTGTGACAGGAATTGTATGTCAGGCCTTCTGGTGCGCCAAGGCGTCCACCGTTGGAGCTCCTTTTCGTGGAGCTCCATGAAGAAGCTCCCGTGGCCCGCTCTGTGAGTGACCTTGGTGCCACCATTAGGCCATGGGATGGCCATGGGATGTACCGTGAAACAACATGGCGCCATAGGAATTTCGAAGGGACATAGATGCCAAGTGCCTGATTTGTATAGCGCGCCCATATAGTTTGTATGATAATAGTAAGAATAAGAATTGCTGAACTGGACAGGTTTATGGCCCCCTGGTTTCCTCTCTTTCCCAACCACACCTCAGCGCGCCTCGTCGTTTCGCGGACAAATCGGCGATGCTTGAGGTTGAAAAAGGGCAGCTGAATTGAAACAGTTGACAGTTCAGTTGAATTGAAATGCTATGTATGCCACATGTATATATGAGGGATTGGCACATCTGCACTCCCCCTTTGCGGGCCCGCTAGGCCTCCGCAAACAGAAAAAAATTGAATTGGCCTCTCTCACTCAAGGCACCCCCGCAGCTTCACAGCAGTTCAAATAAGAGCGCACAAGTCGTGATGCAGCAAATCTCGGGCATCTTTGATCGCAGCTGGTTTCCATGGTCAGGGAGATACAATGGGCATCCAGGAGGCGGTCGGCCCCGTGTTCTTCTCAAGGCACCTTTGCAGATGTCACACCATTCATATTCGGTCAAACGGCCAACCTGTGGTCCTCATAGATGGCGACAATGCCTTCTCAAATGATAAACGCTTCTACATGGTGACCGCCGGGTTTGAAATCCCAACTGGAAATCGCGTCCTTCTTGTGTTTCATTTTCTGCTGGTAGCGGAGATCCTCTTTGAATCTGTGACCACAATTGGTCTTCATCTCTTTTGATACTTTCCAGGGCCGCCAGGATCTGCTCTATGGTCGGTCCCTGTCTTGCTGGCTCAGTGGATTGGTGATGCTGACGACTGTTGTACCCTTTGGTCCAACCCACGTCGTGGCGCGAACGAGGTTTCTCCCTCACGAGGGTTCGGCGCACGGCCTCCTCCACCAGTGCCCGTAGCTCGGACGCCGCCTTCACGAGGGCTCAGAACACGGTCTAGCGCACGTCGCAGCGCGAACGAGGCACTTTTGTCCGTAGCTCCTGGAGGCTGGCTTCACGAGGGAGCACAGCCTGGCCTCCTCCATCAGAGCTGGCTTCACCTCGGAGGGCGCTACGAACCCAGACTGGGTCTGTACTTTGACCCAAACCCTCCTCACTAGCCTTCCAGGGAGGCGGACTGGAACACCACGGTGCTCCAACCCCTTCTCACCTGAGTTTTCTTTGGGCTGACTTCCACTAGCCTTTTCTTTTCTTCCTCCTTTTTCTGAACTTCACTTCTCACTCTTTATTGCAAGCTTCAGACCTCTTCCTCTTCATCTTGGCTCTCCTCACGCTCTGATGCAGTTGATACAGGGAGACTTCGGGACTGTTCTTGGCTTGACCCTTGAGGTCGAAGCTCTCTCTGCTTTACTCCTACCTTCCACATCCACTGCGCCAAGATCGTGATTCCAACCACGATCAGAGTGTAGATCCACATCATCATGTAGAGTTCTCTTCCGCCTTCTTCTTCTTCTTCTTCTTCTTCGTCTTGCCCCCGGGCTGCTTGCAGGCTCGCAGCCAGGGTGATAAATCTCATCGCCAATGCAGCCTGTGCAACCTGCATCCATCCATTCTTTTCTTTTCTTACTTCAAGCTGTTTCTCCTCCTCTTCTGTTTCTGTCTCTTTCTTGTCTGGTCTTGATCTCATTCCCATCAGCTCTTTCCAATATTCCAGCCTGGTCGATGCTAGCGACTTTGTGCCCACGTCGGCTGTCATGTCTTGGCCTGCTATACGGCCAATCATCCATTCACCTTGCATCACTAGTTGGCGAGCGAATCCGGCACGCATCTTCAAATGCCGGGTGCGCCAGTTCCCGCCTTCGTTCACCATAATTGAGGCTGCAGACTGAGTGTCTGTCCACGCCTGGCGTTTGACGCCCCCGCAGAGCTCATACAGAATGACTGCCAGTGCCCCTCCTCCTGTCATCCCTTCTATCAACTCGTTCAACTTCGACTCCGCAGTTGATAAGGTGATCGTTGGCTGCCGCCCTGATCGCCAAAAAATCAAACATCGATTGATGAAAACCAGAAAACAGCCATGACTTTCCCCACCCTCTGGAGAAAAAGAGGCGTCGGTGAAAACTTTGACGCACACATCCTCTTCTGGATCTTCTTCGTGCATCAGCCCTGGGCCGCTGTCTTTCTGAAATCCTCTAATCTGCTTCGCAGTTTCCAAAACGCTGGCAGTACCCTTCGTAACATGTGAGTCCATGCGGCTGGTGGAAAACGTCAAGTCTGGTCTTGATCTTGTGACCAGCCACAAAATCTCTCCAACCTCTTTCTGACACTGGCGGATCTTTTCCAAAGATGGAGTCTCCTCATCTGGCTCCATCAAAGCTTGATCCTTGCCTTTGTGATTGGGATCTTCTTCTCTTTTTCTTCTCTATCTGACTTCCCAACCAACTCTTTCACATAAGATTCCTGGGTGATCATCCAGGTTTCCTTTCCATCTTTGAAGACCTTTAAGATGTTCACACCCAAGAATCTCACTGGATCCTCTGCCACCTCCTCAGGGACAGATGTCGTCCGTGTCTCTTGTGTCTTCTCCTTCACTGCCGTCATCACCGGTTCACTTGCGGCAATGAAGATGTCATCTACATATGCCATCACCGAGCCCAGAATCGTGCCATTGGTGAGCCGGTGCTCCTCTTCATCCTCTTCTATTTTGCTCTGTCTTCCACCACCTTCCACAAGTTTGGTGCTGAGCCATGTTGAAGAAGCTTCAGAGTTTTGGCCTTCTCTCCTGGGACCTTGATTCTGAACCCTCGCATCTTCTCATCTCTGTGGTTTCCCCAAAGTCGAGGGGATCTTCGGAATCCGTATACCACTTTCAGTGGCTGGTACACCTGTCTTCGATCCAGATAACCTTTTTCGGTGAAGATGGAAGGTGGACGGAGAAGGAAGACATCTTCATCTGGGTCTTGTTCCACGCATGCGTTCAAAAACCCTGTTTTGATATCCAAAACGCATCCCTTCCATCCATATTTTGCAGATGCCCAAATGAGTACTCTTAGTGCAGTGGCGCCTGCACCTCCACTGTAGTTCTGTCCGCCTTCCGTCTTCGGTTCCAGGTTTCGGCACACCACCCAACGCACTTTCCGTTTGAAAACTCCTGGACTGGGCTTCACGGTGAAGACTACCTTCGTTGGGAGGTATTGTTCGACCTTCTTCTTCGGCCTTTCTCTTGATGTCCTGGTGCTCTTCCGGTGTCAGCTTCTTCGTGCTTCCTTTTCATGTGTCAGTGAATTGACCTCTGCATCCACTGCTTCTAACCATGTCTCCCGATCCCTTGCCACTTCCTTTGGGGAAATGATCTTCGTTTGCAGAACCTCTTCTTGGCCTTTGGGATTCTGCGTCATCTTCTTGAGTTCGTGGATGATCTTGATCTCTTCGCTTGCGATCTCTGGATCATCTTCTTTGTGTTGTGCTTCTTCCTTTAGGATCTGCTGGACCCCCTCCTTCGGCAGTCTGAGCTTCTCTTCTTCTTCATCTTCATCTTCTTCTTCTTCTTCTTCTTCTTTTTCTTCTTCTTCTTCGTCTCCTCCTCCTCCTCCTCTTCACGCTGGGGCTTCATGCTGGCATCCATCCTTCTTACGCCTGACTTAGCTCTCAGCCTTCTCCTCACCGTCGGACCGTCCATGCATCTTCTGCATCATTCTCCAGAGCGATCCAACTCTGCTCATCTTCGGGCTCTAGCGTGGGCCTCATGATGCACTTGGTGACCCGTGACGCTTCTCCTTCCTTCATCCTGAGTGAACAACGGTGCAACCTCAGGAGTTGGAGACCGGTTGAAAGCAGATCCTCTCTCTGCTTCCCCAGTCTTTTGTCCTGAAACACTGTTTGCAGATCCTGTGCGGAAACTTCTTGCAGGTCCATTTGCCTTAGTGATGAATTGGACCTGTTCGAATTCTGGGGTCACCTTTGGTGTGTGGAGTGACCTTAGCAGCTGAGGCAAAATTCTCAGGTGGGTGTTGGTGTCGTGGGAGGAAGCAACTGCGGTCGCTTGACGGCTGAGCTTGCTGAGGGCTCATCAACTTTAGCCTTGGGAGTACCTTTGGAACCTTCCTTGGCTACAACAGCTTGGCTAGCCAAAACTACCTCACTGCCTTTGGGTTCGTCCTTTTTCTCTTCAGCTTGATCCTCCAACGGCTTTTCGCCTCTCTCCTCTGCTTCTTTCTTCATCCTTTCCTGAGCCTGCTTCATCTTCCTTTCACCTTCCTCCAACTCACCAAAGGTGGCCTTTCTTTGTCTTTCCATCAGACGCAGCTCATAACCTGCTGAACTGGACAGGTTTATGGCCCCCTGGTTTCCTCTCTTTCCCAACCACACCTCAGCGCGCCTCGTCTTTTCGCGGACAAATCGGCGATGCTTGAGGTTGAAGAAGGGCAGCTGAATTGAAACAGCTGACAGTTCAATTGAATTGAAATGCTATGTACGCCACATGTATATATGAGGGATTGGCACATCTGCAAGAATAATAATGATGATGTATAATGTGCATATGACGCGCATCCAATATCAAGTCATTTTCTCAATTTCAACTGCATCATGGAAATCTTTTCCTTGACCCAGGTATGCCAGGTCACAAGACCAAAAGTGTTTGATGTTTCTCACGGAGGAATCTTCTTGGCACACTGGTGCATGAATCGTTTGTCCCTTTAGGTAGCCTTCTTTGTTCACAGAGCGACTATTTTTGAATGGTTTACACCAGCTTCTGGCTTCGTGTTCTTGTTTGCTTTGCCGGCTTTGCCCCTGTGTTCTGTTTGAAAGCAAGCATCCTATCCTGCAGTGCAGATTTGGGACACACAATGCACATATTGATACATATGATCACATACCATGATTAGTTGAAAGGGGATCAGCCAGGATTTGCTCATTGAGATGAAATGTTCTCACATCAGCTCAAACGCTTGGCAGGATGGAGCGCTTCGTCCCATACTTCTTGGACAAGTTCAAGGGGAAACCCACATATCCAGGTGAGTTCAGACGTTGTCATATCAAACTATGAACTGGTTGAATATGGTTGAATAATGTTGATTCGTTGAATAGTTGACTTTGAGCCTGAAACTAGGCATCTCAGCCACTTGTGGCATTGTTCAGTAATGTTCAACTGAAGGATAAATGTGTCGAGATGTGTCGATTGCCTTTCAAGAAGTCGAGGCGTTCTTTGTGAATCTGTGCAGTTCGAGGAAATGGGCGGAGATGAAATGAGATTATGAATTTGAGAAATGATAGTTATCGCATGAATCAATGAATAATTTGCAATGATAAGTTCCGGACACATGCAGCATGGCTGTTCAGTCTTGGCTTACACTGGTTCGCCCGAGGGCCGAACAACATGTACATCCTCTTCCCAGATCATGGAGCATACTCTCGCTATGCCACGTCTGTGAGAGAACGACTGAAGCTGGACTGGGATCACATCTTGCATCTTGGCTGTTTTAGGCGCCGGTTTCTTTGACGTAGAAGGCGAAGTTTCGGCAGTGGCCGACTTCGTTTCCAGAGAGTTGATGGAGGGGCTAGAAAAAATGACTATAAGAGTTGATTGCAATACATTGACGTTTAAGTTTGTTATTAGTTTGTTGATGTTGTCAGGCGTGTTAGACATTGTTAAACTTTATGCTGAGGGTTTGGTGACTTTCTCTTGCGACTTCGGCACCAGGTATATCAAAAAGACCCGAGTTGGAGAATCCATCGGTCAAGAGCAAAAACTTTTCTACGAGGAAGATCGGAGCCTTGGGTAGCCTTGGTGCAGAATGGACGCCATGGCATCAAATGGAACTGCCATGTACAAACTCCAACCTGTGCTGAACTGTGCAGAGTGATATCGTGCGCTGGTGTGGCACCGGTGTAGTGCAGGTCATGATCGTCATGATTGTCATGATGTCTCTTAATCTTAGGGTCAAATGACTGGAATTACAAGGATCGTGGTTGATCATTATTCATGAGAATCTAATGCGGTAGTGGTCATATTTGTTCAGAAATTCTTTCTCCGAACGCGGGCAGATCAATCATCCTGCTTGTTTTGTTTGTTTCTCTTGTCACCTTGCATGTCCTTCTCTGATCGGTGCTGTGTGTTTGCTTTCTTCGTGCAGCGACCTACATCCTGCAACATCTTGCAACTAGCTATTTGAGTTCTACTCGGCTCCGGCTGCTCGAGCCTCAGGACGGAGAATGAGAAGTCCGACCACTTCAATGGAAGCAAGGACGGACATAGGACGGACAAAGGATGAGCCTAGAAGCCTCAGTTCCTCCGCCCCCTTCTTAATCTTGGAAGAGGGGGCGATGGACATTATATATACTCGGACCACATTCAAGAGAACCCAACCTGCGCAAAGTCTTTCAAAAGTCAAGAAAATGGTGACAAAAAGTCAATAGCCAGCTCAAGCTTAACCGAAACCAACGCATTCCCTACAGTATGACATGCGGGAGCTCCAAAGAAATTCAAGTGTATTGCAAACCAATGGAGGAAGAAGCAGGAAGATGCAGGCGTGAAATGAGGAGTGCCCCTCCTCCCCCGCTCAGCGAGGACCACATTTTGATTATCGATGACTTCACCAACTCTGGTAGTACCCTTTTCGGGGCAGTGAAGTTTCTTGGAGCATTAGCGGAGAAAAACGTCGGGGAAAGGGGCCCCAGTTTTCCAACACTGTAGCTGCGCGGTCTTTACATATCTTCAAGAATTCCCCGTCCTTGCCATAAATTTCTCGAGTGTGGGAACGTGTCGTGCACATGTATCTTGTGGGGAGGTCCAAATATGGAATACAGCACATTACAGCCCCAATGATGGGTTGCTGCTGCACTTGAAGTAGGGTGTGCAGAGGTGTGGCATCCCACTGGTCCACCAGGCTTGTCAAGATGTATGCTGGTGGCAGCGATCAGATCAACGTCTCAATTTTTGTGTCGCACTTGGTGGCGACCTACGATCCCAAGGCACTGATGTCCAAAAATGAAATCTCGCGCAACCAGGGTCATAAGATAATCAAGCGTTGCAAAGCGCTTGACATGTTGAGACAAGTATCAGAGATTATCAGAGCACATCCTCTCTACTGTTTGATCGTCTCTAATATCGCGCTGGTGTTTGAAGACAAGATGGGATCCAATACAAAGGCAACTTGTGAGAAGATGGGCGAAACATGTCCGATTTGATCGAATTTGGTCGGCTTCCCTGTGGCAGACTGTCGACAGCTTGAAAGAGAAGCTGCATGAGTTGGGAAAGCAATGTCGCAGCATGGCGCCGATTTAAAACTGGAACCGCATTTGGTCCTGCCTTGCATGGTGCTCTCGTTTTGGACGAGAAGTTAGCATGGTTTAGCAAGAGTTGATCAAAATGCAAGTTTACATGAGTTGATAATACCAGATTTGTATTCAGGATCATTTATGTTACTGCAAGTGAGGGAATATGCATAAAAATGCATTGTTTTGTGGTCTGTGGCCCAACCATAAACTTGCCTTTCAATACACAATCGAGGGCCCAAGCACAACTTGCAAGTCTAAGTCCTGCCACGAGGGACACCAACCCACGATTCACAATTGAAGTCAATGCTGAGGCTCCGTGGCGTAACTAAATGTAGCCAGTGTCTAGATGTGTGTAGTCTGGCTGCTGAGGATTCTTTACCACCAACTCGATCCCAAGCACCACAGATATGCTGAAGGGGGACGAGCAGGCGTGGCCCAAGTGCCTTCCAGCCATTCCCAGCTTTTCCCAGTGTCCGACACTCCTTCTGTCATCCCTTCGTTGCCTCCAGCTAAATCATGCTATCTCGCTCCCAAAAAGCGGACTTGGCTTTCAATTGTTCAGTTTAAGGCGACTGTGATCGACATTTCAGACTTCATCGCGGACATGTGCAGCTAGCATCAGCTAGTGCTGCTTGTGTGAGTAGTTGCATTGTTTCACCTGAACAGGATGGAACAAGATGCCAAGTGCGCAAAGGGAGAAACCAGTACCTCGAAACAAATCCCCTGAAAAGGCGCCATAATACTGAGCTTCAATCTGATTCACTTTTTTAGGATAGCTACTTGGTATATCACTTCGTCCAGGCTCTAATCCTGGCTTATTTTGACTTGATACTCTTTGTTGCAAAGCGATATGCACTACGATCTGCTAGGATATATATTACGATTCACAATCTATTCAGAAGATTCAGAAAGTCACAGCTTCATAGGCTCCACAGCGGATATCAGCGTCTCCCTGTCCATGGGATCCGCGTCAGCCGCCTGAGCTGAGCTGCGCATTGCTTGGAAAACCAACGTGCTTTGCGTTGCACCCATTCAGTTGCTGTCTTCAACAGTGACGCTATTTTTCGTCTGAAACATATCGCAAGGGTTCTCTTTAGCATTGCCAAACCACAAGAAATCGATCTCCTCGTGTTTCATGATGTGTCCAATACTTTCATAGTCTTCCATACTTTCTCCATATTTCCACAAACTGGACGTCACAGGATATATCATGTCACAGACCAAAGTTTCGCCGAGTATTCTTGTTCTGCCGCTGCAAAATTTTGTGACTTTGTACGTTTTCTTCAACTTTGTAGGTGGCTATGCAGCAAGAGAAGCCAAGATCTCAGGAACCGAATTTAATTTTCTTGAGCTTTGAAGTTTTCAACAGGTTTCCTTGTGAGGACAGCCAAGAAGGCCCGGAATGACAGCTTAAAAATAGCTTAAAGAGCCCGCTTTAATATATATATATATATATAGAATGTTAAGGAGTGTGCAAAACCTTTGCAATGACTTGGTTCGAAGCTTAAAAAAACACAAGATGTGTTCAAGATGTGAAAGTGTTGTAAAAGTGTTGTAAAAGTGTTGTAAAAGTGTTTCAGCTTAGGGGAGCGAAACCAAGCGTTGCCTTCGTTTCACAGTTTGAGTTCCGCAGGACCTGTGTGAAGAGCTCCAAAGCTCATATGTCCACGTTCGACTGCAATACACTGCGCAAGTTTCCAACTCCCCGATCCTAGAACTTGACTAGGACCTAGGGACAGCCTCCCAGAGGCCCTGATAACACAGATATGCGGCATATGTGCCGAATCCGGCGAGCCATTGCAAAATACGTTAGCTGGAAAGACTTGATGCGGAAACGACTAGGGGGTCCTGTTGGATGTAGCAACTTATGTCTTTGAAAACAAAGAAGTAGCAGCATCATATAAAAGTATAAAATCATATAAAATCAAAAGATAAATAAAATCCATAGAGTAAATACTTGGAAGATCTTGGAAGCCGTCGCAAGTCTTCACCGTCGAAGGCTCATGGTGGAGCTAGCAGAAGCTCAAGGTCAAGCGCAAGAGGCGGGCCATGGCAGGGATAGCAGAGATAGGGGTATGAACTCCCGAATGAAATCGCATTTAAGACTAGAAACAAACAAACATATATATATATATATATATACATATATTATGCAATAAGATCGTATCAGGTTATGCATGATATATTGTTAGCGAGACTATGCCCTATTATTATTTGGCGTTTAGGCGTGATACAGTAAGATAAAGAGTATACTGTAAGGTATTGGTGTTCGTCACATTGTGACGTGTGCTAATGACCCTGCCAGACCAGGTATTTCTCAACCGATAAATTCAATGCACCAAGATGTGCAAGATGCCTCCCTCTAGACTCTAGACTACAAAACGATACTGTTTTAAATGTCAGTGTCACGGTGTATTTGTAGCTCTACATGTGAAGATTGCGAAGCTCAGACTTTCAAGCCAGCGTTGAGTCATTCAACACTTGGAAGATGTGAAAGAAATCGGTTGAAGGCACCAGATGTGAGGGCTATATTGGCAGATCAGAACAGAAATAGCCTGAAATTAGTCATGACATACTAATGCTTTTAGATGTGAGAGACTCGGACCACTCGGATGGTTTCAGGAAAGGGCCAAACTGCAGGAAGATGCTAGTCACTTAGTCACTTAGTCGACTGGGCTGAGCCAGCGTCGAGCCAGTCATCAAAGGTTTTAGGACCGTTACAAGGTGCCACGATCTTTAAGCCACTCGGCGCAGGGACTTGCCTAAAGATTGGAAAACCTTCTTGCGTTAATTGAAACAGCATTTCTTTCTACTTGTTGGACATGCGAATCACAAAGGTCAGGATCCAACAAGATCGGCTACGGCAAAGGCGGAACTTCAGTGCTTTCATTATTTGGTGCGTTTAAGTCTGTGTGCATGTGTGCTTTTTACATTTTCCAAACAAGCATCTACCCATGCCAATTTCTTCCCAGCAGGTTGTTCGAACAACGCCAACTGATGGACGATCGTGTAAAGGTTGCGGGGCGGGACCACTACTGACAGAGCTTGTATTATAGCGTAGAGTATTACAATGTATTATAGCCAAGAAATTGATAATTTCGAGAAAAGTGGCCATGTGATTTCTATGTTTGCATCTAACTATATCAAATTGCAGCATATTGCTGCAACCCATTTGATTTGCGGTGGAAGAGTCCTTTCTTGAGAGGGCTCTCACCTTGCATGTTCCCGTATATCTTACCTGTCCCGCCTGCTTTGCTGCAGTAGGCAACATGCATAAAATCAGAAACATAGTCATAGTCCGTTAGCAAGCCAGCTCGACTGCTCACTCACCGTTGTGTGCTGTCATCCCTACGAAAACATGCTGTTGCATGTTTCATGTGCATGGATGTGCCGGGCATAGCCAAGCAATCTTTACCAGTTGCAGTTTGAGCTTCACGGAAATCTGAACGACCAAACCCAACCTGGAAAGCCCGGAAGGCTTTGACATCGCAGGGAAGCAACGTTGGAACGCCAGGATTTTTAGGAGGCGGGGCACCCTTCGACATTCGAATTTCACGTAATGCAGAGAACTGCGCCCATTGTCAGGGCCATATAGTGACTGTGACAAGAAAAAATGTTTTTTTATTGTGATAAAAAAAGTAAGAGTCAGATAGAGTCAGATAGACAAGGACGAGAAATGGACAAGAAAGCATCTACTTGTAAGACTGTTTGGTTCTGTTTGGTTAATGTGTGTTCGCATGGTGATCTCTGATGGCACGAAACTAAGAGTGCTCTTAGTAGGTGAGCAAATGAATGAAAGAAAAGAAGATCCACAGATGATTGCAGTGATCGACGTGATGGAATGGAACTAGCTGAAACCAAAAAAACGAGATATGAAATATATTGAAGTGTATGAAGAAATGAAAAACAATAAACCAAATCGGCTAGTCATTGACTGACGAATGTGATTGCAAGTAGTTTGTTTAGTCCGTTTTTGTTTCATTTGCCCCTTGTGGTACATGACGCGTACATGACTCCATTTCTCGATTGTGCTTCGCTCTTGGGAGGCCCCGCTCAGACTCTGCAGCCGCAGGTACTGGGGCGCCATTCTGCATCGTTCTGTCCTAATTTTGTGTTGTGAATATCGTGAGGTATTTCCGTGCATTGTGTATAGTATAGTGGTATAGTGATCTTCTGCCTGCTCTGCAACTGCCATGACCTTCAGTTTTGATTGATGCCGTGTCCTACTGTATGGGCTTGTGTTTGCGCGCATTGCTTCAACTGGACACAGCACTGGATGTGAGTGTCTTGTGTGCTGTAAGCGTTGGGAAGAGCTATGAGGTTCTTGAGATTCTGCTTTGTATTGCCTTGCTTCCCAAATCAGCAAGTTTAGCCTAAAAAGTCCGACCACTTGTTCCAGTTTCCAAACTGGCCGCAGTCATCGCAGCCATCGCAGTCATCAGGACGTCAATGAAGGCAACTTGGCAACGCCCAAATCACCAGGACAGAGGGAGGTGCCACTTGATGCTACATGCCCTGGCATGATCGGTTGACAATCAGGAATCAGGAATCAGGAAGGGAAGTGTCAGTGTGTGTGTCAGCTACCCAAGTTACCGTGCTTGTCCGTGCTTCAGCAGGTTCGTTTTTTGCGGCAAAATAGGGCATGGGATGGACCGGTTTTCGTTCCGCCCCTCAATTGCTCTCAAGTGCCATGGCAGTACGCACTCACCCCAGTGCAGTATAGCGGAGTGCGGGAAGAAATTGCCACAATGTGACAGTGTTTCGCGATGTTTTGCTGTCACTGCGTGCATTGGAGACCGCACACATTGGATTTCCAGTGTGCAGACTGCATTCCATACAGACGTTGGACGCCCAAAAAAAAGGGCGCCTCACATTTTGACTTGGGGGCCAATCTTGGAGAGCTCTTCCCTTTGCTCAGTTGTTTCAACTTGAAACCTGCAACTTTTTCCAACTTTTGATGTCTTTGAAAATGAAGCCTGACCATTCCATACACGTCATCACAGGTTTGGTGATACAAGGCGTCTACCTTTTTTTGCACCAATGACATGCCTGTATTTTTCACAGAGCGGAGGAATTGCTGAAAGAACGGTGCTTCCGGCGAAGAAGGTTGCGAGGGATTCGAGGGGAGAGGGCCGCAAAGGGTACCTTCAACTCAACGAGAACTCAATGAGATGGGAGAAAACCAGGAGGGGGAAGGCTCATGAAGCCCCACATGACCGTGCGAGATAAGCCTGGTAGGTTTGGCAAGCCTTGCTTAGCAAGCGGAGAAAGTACCACTGCTGAAGTCTTGGACATTTCGTGATGAAAGCCGTGCAAAAGCTTATGCCCAGGTAAAGTAAATGCAAGCATATGCATATATAATTACAGTAGCAACATGTAGACAGTATACGCATACAGTCCACCTATTTGCAAGTTTGTTTGCGCGACATTTGGATGGCAAAGCATCTTTTAAGGATTGCTCTGGCTTGGGGAAGATCGCGTTTAAGTGTACAATCACATGTTTTCAAGTTGTTCCATAAGTCACATGTTTGGCCAAGAGTGTGAATCAGTTTATATCAATGGCATAGTAAGCCACCCCTGATATTTGGTTTCGATTAGAGGCCTCCATGCCTAATCAGAAAAACAACTTCATGCGATACTTCAGGCCATGTGACCACAGGGACAGGCGTCAGACTTGGCCAAGCACAATTTTGCTAAGTCGTCTGGGATGGAGTGCGCGAAGAAAGCACTCCTT